TGGTGTTTCATTTGGTTCAATTGTATTTGCAAAATATTTATCTAAGACTTATTTAAAGAAATAAGTCTTTTCCTTTTTTAAAATTGGCCAATCTTGACTTACGTAATGTGCAGGATACAATGTTTATGAACTGTACATCGCATAAGATATTTGAAAAATGCACCAACGTTTTAGTGGTATAAGAGGCCACTGTAATAAGTTGCTAATTATTTAAGAATTTATATACCTAAATGTAGCAGCGTTTGAGTGTTGATTATTTATATTAATGGTAACGGCTTTCGAAAGGTAGAGATAACCCTAAAACTAACTGAGCATGTCAGAGATAGTATAAAACATGTTAGTACTAAGACATCATAAGTGGTCGTGAAGTAGCTAATAAAAGGGAGAAAAAGATATGATGAACTACAGTTTACAGCGACTAATTCTATTGACCATAAAGCTTTTATTATCTAAGCAATATCTCTAATAGTACTATAATTTAGAGACATTCTTTTTAAGGACTGAGATTGAGTTTACACTATTCCAGGTTGTGGCGAGCATTACACCCGGTCGAATCGCATAGTAGGCGGCCATTCGACTGGATTCGGCTCTCACCCCTGGCAAGCCGCGCTTATCAAGTCAGGCTTCCTCAGCAAGAAACTCGCCTGTGGCGGAGCGCTTATATCTGACCGATGGGTTGTAACTGCAGCTCATTGTGTCGCCACGTAAGTCTTATAACTATTTTTTAAGTCATATTTTTAACTACAATAAACTAACTCAGTGTATACATCGAAGTATCTTCCATACGATTGTAAATAGTCGCAATTATGCCCTTAATCCAGACACCAAAGATATCCTTAAAATAAAAATTAATACGTTAAAAATGCTTACAAATTCTTCAGAACTCCCAACTCCCAGCTGCGCGTCCGACTGGGGGAGTGGGACGTGAGAGACGCGGGAGAGAGGTACTCGCACGAGGAGTTCGCGGTGCAGCGCAAAGAGGTGCATCCCTCATACGAGCCCGCCGACTTCAGAAATGATGTCGCCCTGGTACAATTAGACAGAGGAGTCGTTTTTAAACAACATATATTGCCGGTAAGTTATTAACAAAATAGAAGTATGTTAGATGTATCTGGTTCAGTTTTCACTGACGAAACAGCCATACAAAAATCACATGAAAGTAATTGATTTAATAAAGCACGTAACCTTACTTACCTGTATATTACGATTAGTTTACACTGCAGAAGTAACTTTACAAGAGCAAAATATTATTGTAATAGTGTCGGGATTTTCAAAGATAACGTGGTGGTGTCAATGGACTCGTATGTGCGCGTAGCCTGTAGAATCTAGAACAAATAATATTTGCTGCAAATCAAACCCATTGTATACAAAAGATTATCTTACTTTCCAGGTTTGTCTACCGCAGAAACAGATGAAACTCGCGGGTAAGATCGCCACCGTGGCAGGCTGGGGCAGGACCCGACATGGACAGAGCACAGTACCCTCTGTATTGCAGGTAAAAAAATCTGCAAATAAAACAAAACGCGCAATGTTATTAACATACGTACCTTCACATAATTTTCAGAATCATGTTTAACGTTGTTAATTATGTTCGAAACAAAAAATACTTCAAAGTACCTTCATTAGACGACTTTATCGTTGCAACACGTATAATACTTTTTGAGAAAGTACCTACAATTATTATATATTGTAACAGGAAGTGGATGTAGAAGTGATACCGAACGAGCGATGCCAGCGCTGGTTCCGTGCAGCGGGCAGACGCGAAACTATACACGACGTCTTTCTATGTGCCGGATATAAAGAGGTAAAAATATTATACTTTAATTTTTACAATTATCAGAACTTATTAACTTACTATTATTCTCTGAAAATAAAATTAGTACATTAAAAAAAAATTCGTGAACTTTAAAAAAAAACATGCTACAGCGCCATCTATTGGTAACTTATAACAACTATATATTTCAGGGAGGTCGTGACTCCTGTCAAGGGGATTCCGGAGGACCGTTAACAATGAAGATGGAAGGCCGTAGCACCCTCATCGGACTGGTTTCATGGGGTATCGGTTGCGGCCGCGAGCACCTCCCCGGAGTATACACAAATATACAGAAGTTTGTTCCCTGGATAGACAAACTCATCAGTTAACTGAATATAAATTACTCATTACATCTACTCATTAAATCTACCATATGACGAAAATCTTGATGGACAGAATAATAAACGGATATTTTACTCTAAAACGAAATGTAGAAATTTCAATGAACTTTTCTAACTAACAATATGAAGAATATGATTTACATATTAGAATCAGATTTCCAGCAACAATAAAGAAAATCATACCACTTATGAGACTTACGATAAATGTTTTAGGTACAATCACAAAATCATCATATTTTTATAATATTTGAATAATCTTGCTCGAAAATTACAAATTAATCGAGCAACGTAAAAATTATTCAGTTACCAAACATTTACTTGAACTTTAACAGTGATTGCATTTAATTATATGAACATAATTGTAATCAAGACTAATTTTACGTCAAATATTTAGTACTAAGTTAATATTATTTACCGTGGGTTTCTGAGACTAAAGTCCTCGTTTAAAACATATTGTTCTCTCTGTTTTGTCAAAGATAATGACAAGGACAACGATATATTTTATACAGAGATTTTGATCTCAAAAACTAACGGTGTGAGGCACATTAAATAATAAATGTGATATTTTCTGCTAATAGTGAACTTTTTCAACTTTTGTAAATATTTCTTAATAGTAACTACGTGGTCTAATTTTTTGTTACAATATTTGTATGGTTAATTTATTTTTACATTACGTTTTTATTGTTTTTGTTTACTATATTAATAGTAAATTAAAATGTTTATACATAATGGTTGTTTTATTTTACACAATCCTAAGGAACACATCATAAAAGTTATAAATCTAAGGTCAAGGTCATCCATCGCATTTATAATATTAGTATGATATACCTAAAAACTCGCCTTTATATTTATTTTCTATTTGGTATAATTTAAAATATAGGATTTTTTCTACTATTGACTTTTTTTAGAATATAATACCACGCCATCTGTTGAGAAAAAAGTACATTTAAAATAAAACCTGATCTACTGATATCAAATAGTAAGTAAACAAATATCCAAGAGATGGAAGCACTTGTAACACTCATAATATCGATTAATTAAAAGTTTTAGCATTATCAGGATCAAGAAATTAAAAAAAAAAATTGGCAAATAAAATATGATGAAGAAATTGCAAGAAATATTTTCCTTTGCATCTTAAAATTTACAGCCCATTGACTGCGCGTTGAAGTCTTTTGTTAAGAAATGTTTTTAAATCAATTTTAGTATTACATGGTAATATAAAACAATATGATATTCTAACGACCCATTTTACTTATGTATTTTAGTAAATAATGTGAAACATAACCACTTTATTTTTATGTAAATTTTCTTACAGATTTTAAGTGTTTGTCTGAAAACTAAATTGTCTTGAATTATGTTAACTCATTTTGCATTATGATTGTCTTAATTTAAAACTTAATTTACTTAAATGACTAAACATTATGATGTTCAAAGACAATTATTATTAAATCTATTTTTAAGCGAACCAGAATTAATTATCATTCAAAAATAATTTTTAAAACCTAAGTTATAAAGTTCATTTTTCTTCTTTATGGACTATATTCTTACTTCATAGTATAATCAAGAGGTAAAATCCGGTTCTGCATTGGAAATGGAGGCTGTAAAAAACATATTTGACTTGCAAAAACCTGACCAGTGTTTCAAAATACATTTTGTTCTCGGTACTGACTTGCATAATATGTTCTGGTCTGACCATGTCTCCACAGACCACACATTATAAATGGTAATTAACGAAGTAGACTTTTTTACAATTTTTTTGCAAATTGCTTGCTAAAACTGATCTCTATATACTATGCACTGTTATTAGAATGTATTTTAGTTTTTACCTATTGTCGTTTAATTTCAATTTCGATTTATTAGATACTAGCTGTTCCCGGCAACTCCGTCCGCGCATTTCTAAAAAAAACTTAATTATTAGCCAATGTGTTCTTCCAGACTATGTTCTGTATTGCATATTGTTCTGTATCTGCAAATTTTCAGCGATATCCATCCATCCATTCGCATTTATAATTTAGTAAAAGAATTAGAAGTACTAGAAGATACTGAATCGATTAGTTGATAAAAATGAGGAAACATAGTAATAAATTATTATAAATTTGAGACGTAATACTTTTGACGCTAAGAACAATTGCACAAACAACTACTTAATATGAACAAGAAAACAAAAAAGAATCACAAACTCTCATGACCATAAATATGAACAATATCATTGTCTTTAGAACACGATTTTTTTATTCCATGGACCAGTTTGTCCGCCTTTGAAATGAGATTTTTAATTTTCATATTCCAACCTTCAAAGTTTCAGCTCTTTAAAAGGTAACTTGTACTTCAAGTTTTTACTATCCCAGTCTGTGATGTGGACGATATTTTACGGAGAATCAAGTTATGTTTATTTATGGACCACTTGGCGAGTCGTGTTCTTACATCGAGAGCGAGACAAAAGCCAATATTGATGAGGATGCATCAAATCTGTTAACGTATATAAGACTTATGTATTAAATAATTAGGACAGGAATACATAACAAATATACCACTCGTGACAAAAGAAAATATTTTTCCTTATCCAAAACCAAAGTTTTTTCACCCAAATAAAACATTGTATGACCACACAATTAAATATAAATTTATTAAAATGCACTAAGGAACGGCTTAAGTAACTCTGAGTATGATAAAAATACATAAAAAATATACCCACCATATATTAGTCATCTCAAAGTCTTCCCGTCATGGCAGAACAAGTTTAAATATCCTTTTCTGACATCATCTTATGTTTTAACTATGTACAGTCTTGCATGAATTCATCGATATACGACCTTTTTGGCTCCAACGGACCGGTTCGGTCTCGACGCCCGCGCAGTGCAACTGGCCAGTTCTTCACACGAGTAGCGAACGCGCGGTCGCCATGCGAGAAAAAACGATGATTAAAAACGAATACGAACCACATAGAAATACAAATTAGGGCGCCATTTTATTTCAAATTTAGAAAATTATTTCTTCGATCGAATTTTAAAAAATTTGTTTTTAAAATTAAGAAATAATCGTACTGCAGTCAAAGCATCTGGCCAGACGAAGGATGTGAACTTTTTTTTGTAATTTTATTTGTGCGCCTTCAAAGGAATGTGGTTTTAGTGTCCATGCAAAAAGAACGTGTGTTGTGTGAGTTATTTTTATTGTTTCGATGAGTGTGAAACGAGCCCTTTGCTAATAGTCAGTGTTGTGTAAAAATAAGTTATCGCAAAAGGTAAGGTACCTTCACTTTTGTTTTAAAACGTATTGAACCAATATTTTACAATCCATTGATTTACTGTTTTGTAAACAAAAACTACCGACCTCGGAACTTGGACCGACCATTAATCACTTACAGAATTATCTTTACCTATTTGGTAATTACTTCTACAATTAACGTAGATAATAGCTATATGAAAATATCAGTTTTAAATTAAAGAATATTCAAACTTCTTACTAATATTATAAACGCGAATGTTTAGATGAATGGATGTTTGTTTGAAGGTATCTCCAAAACGGCATGGATCTTGCTGAAATTTGGCATAAATATAGAACATAATTTGAAAGAACACATAGGCTAACTAATTAAGTTTAATTTAAATTTCTCGCGAACAAAGTCGCGGGCGACAACTAGTGTAACAATAATTGTTAACATTTCAAATGTACTTATAAGACTGTAACTTATAATGTTGAATGTTTTACATCGCTTGCAGAGGTCGTAAAATATGTAAGACAAGGATCATTAAACGCCCCTCTACATAACTTGTGGTCAACAATTAATTAAACGAGTTGAATAGAACTCGTTTTATCAGAAGTCAGATAGTAATCAACGGGTTAATTATAAGACAAACAAAATTATAATATTGTAAGGTATGCTCATCCGATGAAAAGAGTTACATCTCTTAATATGTCGTCTTTATAATAAATAAAATTGGAGTGTCTATATGTTATCATATATCCTATTTGCTTCACTGATAAAATATACCAATTTTTTTATATCTGACTGCCCGTCTGTCTGTCCGCAAATCTGCGTTTGTTCCGGGAATCTCCGAAACGACTTATTTGATTTTGACGAGAATTTGACGGGAACGTTATAGGCTTTTTTTTATGAGCTGACAGTCTCAAGCGCTTGTTAAACTTATAACTTTTTTCGTCGAACGTGTTATATATGATATTGGATTGCAATAATATATGTCATTTTGGAGGGTGGATTGAGAATATGTCACGAAGCATAACACCTATACTTGTATTAAACTATTTATTAAATAATTGGTTCACTTCAACATAATACTTTTCAATACGTCATCAATTGATTCAATTACATTCGCTTACATCGCCATTCACTCTTGTACCTTGTATTTGCGATTATGGATTTTATATTTTTGTCCAATTTGTATTGACTTATATCGATAATTTAAACAATTTAAGACACAGCGCTACAAATCTAATAGACTCGGTTTTCTTACTAATATTATAAATACAAATGTTTGTATGGATGGATGTTAGAAAGTATCTCCAGAACTGCTACATGAATGCTGAAACTCGGCATAGTTGTAGAACATAGTCTGGAAGTACACATAGGCTAATTAAGGTTTTTAATTCAGTGCAGACGGAGTCGCGAGCGATACCAAGTTATTTACAAGCCGTAAAATACAGGCAAAACAATATAAACTGTCTTGTACGTAATATTTATAAGTAATATAGGAATAATGTTGAATAGAATTAAAGACAGTTTATTACACGAACGTTTTCAATATTCAGTTGCATCTCACGCAAGACAACGATTAAGCGATTAAATACTTGTCTTATGTCGATGGCCGTTTCGTTCCAGCTTAGTCTTCAAGTCAAGGTTGCACGCCTACACTTCGATTGTACACCCACGATGTCAATGACGTCACCGCATTCGTAATAACTATAGGTGAACAAAACCGGAACTTGTTTGCTCATTGTAAATTTTGGTTGAAAGAATGTAATTGTTGAAGTTAGAAAGAATTTTTTATTCTTTACATTAAATATTCAAATGTTTGCTTTGCAAAGAAATAACTTCATTACGTGTAATTTTGATAAGTTTTCCATTAATTAAGGATATATGAGAGTTGATTAAGAAAATATTTACAAAACGATCAAATATTTTCGACTAACCTTAATAAAAGGCACAATTTATACATTTATAACAATTGTATTGACACTTCGCCGTTTTAATTTATTTAGTCTTCTTCTAATAAATAATTGTTCTACTGCTACAATTAAGATTGATTACTTTAACATTAGTATAGATTTTTCAAACTAAATCAACACGAAATCTCTCCATAAGTTAATAATTAACATCTATGAGTGATGAAGATTTGACATGTGGCTCTCAGATAGAATGCATATTAATAGTTACACTTTCAAGACTCTTCATCATCAGCTCACTATACGTCCCCACCGAGGGGCTCAGAGCCTACCCTAAGTTAAGGATGATTAGGCCACAGTCAACCAATGCCAAGTGGCCAGCGTGGTTGACTTTAACATATCTTTGAATTTCTTCTCAGATATGTGTAGGTTGCACGTCAGATAAATGTACACATGTAAATCGGAAATCGAAAAACACATTGATACATGGCGGGATTCGAACCCAGGACCTGCAGATTGCAAGTCAAATGCTTGTCTCCTGAGCCACCGACGCTCAAGACTCTTATAACACATCATTTAAGCTTCATTAATTCATTTACTTACACAAACCATTAAGCAATGCCACCTACATATTCATCTGATGCGTACAAAACTTACAAAACGTACGAGATGATGTTAAAATTCTACCGTTTAATGTGAAAATTGTTATTGCAGGAATACATCATATTACGACAATATTTACGCTTCGATAAAGGTTATCTTTTTGTAAACTTAATGCAATAAACAAACCCACCTTTTTTTTTAATTTGGCTACATGAAGTAAGGTAATAAACAAGTAAGCAACGATGTCTCGTTTGTATCCTAGACGGGTAGGGATCACGGACTACCGCCTGTCCCGATCTTGACTCAATCATTTAACAATAAAGCTTTAGATTTTAAATAAAATTTGTATAGAACTATATTTGTAATAGAAGCATATGTAAATTAGAAATATATCTCCATGTTAAAAACGATGCTAAAATTATAAAGAGGTAAGATATGAAAAATTCTTTCACGGTTTAGAAGCTATACCATACACATACATCTTTTAATTCCGTGCGTACGAAGTCGCGGGCCACTGCTAGCGAATAAAGTGATTCCAAGAACTGCAATAAATGTAAACAGTAAAGGAGATTTATTGCAGCAACAATTTTGCGCTATACGGCTATAGAATTCAAAGTGAGCTAGACGTTGTGAATGTTGAAGCACCACATTATCTGCAATGAATCTGTTACGTCACTGAAGAACTGGGCCTCTAAAGCTTACTTAAATCACAAGTTTCTTAAGAGATTTATGTTGTAATTATTTAGATGAGTTGAGATGTTTCTCGTATTTTGCTTTTAAATTATTCATAACTGGCTGAATCAGGGTTGCGTTGAAATGTTTAAAACAGAACAGTGTCAAAAGAAGTCACTGATAATTGTTATTAAGTCCACTATGAATTATATCTTACTTCTTACTAATTTTTTTTTTTTTTTTTTATATCACAAGGGGGCAAACGAGCAGCGGGAACACCGAAGTGTTCAACGACGCCCATGGACATCAGCAATACCAGAGGAACCGCAGATGCGTTGCCGGCCTTTGAGGTCGTGATAGGCTCGCTTCTTGTAGGACCCTAAGTCGTATTGGTTTGGAAATACCGCCGAGGACAGACCGTTCCACAACGCGGCTGTGCGAGGCAAGAAGTTGCGCGAGAATCGCACCGTTGTGGAATGCCAACCATCCAGGTGGTGTGGATGGAACCTGGCGGTCTGTCGTGTCGTCCGATGACGGAACTCGGCGGCAGGAATCGTTCCAAACAATTCTTCAGAGCACTCCCCGTGGTATATGCGGTAGAAAATGCAGAGGGAACTAACGTCCCTCCGCAGCGCCAGAGTGTCGAGCCGATCAGTAAGAGCTCGGTCGTTGACGATTCGAATCGCTCTCCGTTGTATGCGGTCAAATGGAAGAAGCTGGTACTGGGGTGCTCCCGCCCAGAGATGCGAGCAGTATTCCATGTGGGGCCGAACTTGCGCCTTATACAGGTGGAGGCGGTGGCCCGGTTGGAAATACTGCTTCGCTCTGCTGAGCACACCCAGTTTTTTGGAGGCCAGCTTGGCCTTGTCTTCCAAATGACCGCGAAACTGAACGTCATTCGATATGTCAACGCCGAGAATACTGATACTGGCTGAGGCAACCAGGGGAGTGCCCTCGAAACGAAGATCCACGACAAAGGGTTGTAATAAATAATATAATAAATGCGAATTTTTGGATGGAACATAGACGGAGTCGCGGGCGACAGCTAGTTTGACATAATATCAATTAGAGTTACGACAAATTTTTTAATAATTCCTAAAAGACATTTTTCAGAACATAATCTTTTCTACGTATTCATTTAAATGGTTTAGGAACACTCAGAAGACTCACATAGAAGTTTTTTTTTTTAAAAAGATTATAAGAAGTCTTCCATCACACTTTTTTACATATTGCGAAACCTGTGTTTTTAATTACTCAACGGTCACCTTATACGAAGATGGTAAGGTTGTATAAGGAACTGAATTCGTAACATCACAAGGGCGTGCGCAGGCGACTTTATGTTTGTCTTACTCAACACTGAAGCCTACGGATCAACATTGAGTAATATTTGGGGATAAATTTAAAATAAGATCTTAATATAAGCAAACACGAAATTCAAAATTGATGTATTCATTTTATTTTATTCAACGCCGAAAGTAAATAAACAGAGTAACATTAAATTATGAATGACGGCCATTACGTTATACTTTTTTTGTTGTTGTAGGAATTTGTAGGATATGACGGCTGATAAAGATGTATGGAGGAGTAGTACATAATGTGCCGACCCCCAATAGGAATAAGGGCAGGTTGATGAGGAATTTGTAGGATAGAGTGAAATCATCATCATCAGCTTACTACGTCCACTCTTAGGGGATCGGAACCTACCCAAGTTAGGGATGAAGAGTGAAATACTTGTAACTTTTGGTATTTTTGAATACACAGGTTTCTAATTCTAAATACATTTGTTTCTTTTAAAAGTACTAATCATTTAAGGGTCAATGATAATAAATATCAGATATTGAACGG